AAGTACGTGTGAATGATGTATTCCAACACAAGGGAGACTTCAGTATTTGTGGCTGATGTATTCCAACACAAGGGAGACTTCAGTACTTGTGAATGATGTATTCCAACACAAGGGAGACTTCAGTATTTGTGACTGGTGTATTCCAACCCAAGGGAGACTTCAGTACTTGTGACTAATGTATTCCAACACAAGGGAGACTTCAGTATTTGTGACTGGTGTATTCCAACACAAGGGAGACTTCAGTATTTGTGACTGATGTATTCCAACACAAGGGAGACTTCAGGACTTGTGACTGATGTATTCCAACACAAGGGAGACTTCAGTATTTATGACTGGTGTATTCCAACACAAGGGAGACTTCAGTACTTGTGACTGATGTAGATTGTACAACTCATGACACATCAATAGCTTCACATCAATTCTAGATGTTGGTGTATATTTTCACATAGGTTACAATAGAATATCAACAGGAATATATCACAATAAGATACATATTGAAATAAGATTCAACAGAATTATCATATCCACCGCGATGTACAATAATAATTATAGTAATACAATAATTAGTTAGGAATCAGATTGAGATGAACGTATAGATTACTAACCCTAATAATAGGATAATAATATACAGTTATCGGACATCTAGCAGTAACCCATAATATTCCATACAATAATCAATCAAATCCAGATCGAAAACTTAACTTTTTTTTTCTTCTCTCTTATCATTATAAACTTGTATTTTCTATGGCTACTAATTATCTTATATCATATAATATAGCACTAATAAACTATAAAGTAATTTGTGCTACTAACCTTTAGGAGTGTGGGTTTTGATGTTTTTCTTGGGTGAATATATTTAGTAATTCTTGACCCATGACTTTTTCTACCACCAAGGCTGAATAAAAATCGTCTGCAGTGAGAACAGGAGATTAGCATTAGAAGTACAACTTTTAATATCTTGATTACAAATCTCTAAACGTGAAACAAAAAACTTATTAATACGTAAGAAAGTTCTAGAAAAATTGTTTAGAAGCTTTATATTCATTCAAGTTTGTTACATCACTGGAAGAAAGTCAGATAACACAATGTGACTTAAATACTGCAGAATGGGCCCTTTACAGGTTCGAAGAATGAAAATGGACGAAACTGTTGCATATTGAAAATGGACGAAACCGTTGCATATTGAAAATGGACAAAACCGTTGCATATTGAAAAACGACGAAACCGTTGCATATTGAAAATGGACGAAACCGTTGCATATTGAAAATGGACGAAACCGTTGCATATTGAAAATGGACAAAACCGTTGCATATACTCTTCGTTGGTAAAAGGTTGTATTTGAGTTATTTCAGAAACATAATATAATGAAGTTGTTTCATTGGAAACTGATATACGTATAATTTAATTAATTTTATCGTACTCTTAACTGTACAGTTTCTGTCCACAGGATTTACTTTACACAAATTTCAATAGAACTGATTAATTACTCATATTACTTTTTCTATTTTTTTTGTTAAAAAGCCGAAAATTAGAAATTGGGAGTTTAATTTCTTGTTTGCTGGATAATACAAACTTATTATAAACACCAAAAAGTTTAAGTGGACTTCATAAGAGATACTGGCAAGCTTCGAATGGGAAAAAATCAAAATATCAACGACAAGTTTCTTCAAAAGACTTGTGTTGACAAAAACGTAGTTTAATAATTTCTCCACTAGGTGCCTCTAGTTGTCTAGATCCAGAAAACTGAGAGACATTTGTGTCATAGCCAATTGTTCTAGTTTCACAGAAGTAAATTATAACTATACGTGATTATGTGAAATTTGATTTAAAAACAAAGAATACAATTTTTGCCATTTTGCATAGCTACTTACAATTTCTATGTTTTGTGATATGCAACAACTATTTTTTACAATAACTAATCATTCGTTTCGTACAATAAAATAAAACAAAAACAAAACTTTCTCATTACTTTTAACCTCTCATAAGAACCAACCCTCTAAGACATTTAATACAGTGGAGCCGTGGGTGCGTTATAAGGGTGACGGTCAAATCCCACTTCGGTCAGACAAGAGTAGCTGCCCCCCAGTGGCACAGCGGTATGTCTGCGGACTTACAACGCTAGAATCCGGGTTTCGATACCCGTGGTGGGCAGAGCACAGATAGCCCATTGTGTAGCTTTGTGCTTAATTACATATAAACAAGAGTAACTCCAGAGTAAGCGTTGGGTGTTTGTTGGCTATCTGCCTTTCCTCTAATCTATTTGTTCAGAATTTAGAGAAGGCGAGTGTAGATACTCCGAGAATAGATTGATGCAAATATCCGAGAAACAAATTAAACTACCCTCTTGAATTTAAAGTAGTACCAAAGATAACATATTTAATTATTTTTTATTATTATTAAATATTATCGGTATTTGCTGCGCAAAAAATTAAGAAGTTGAAGGAAAGATAAATGTTATTGAAAAATAAATTTTACTAACAAAATCTGGATTCTAGATGTTTGTTTTGAAGTTAAGCACAAAGCTACACAATGGGCTATCTATGCCTGCCCACCACGGGTATGAAACCCGGGTTCTAGCGTCGTAAGTTCACAGACATGCTGCTGTGACACTGGGGGGGGGATACTAAATGAAAAGTTTCCCTTTAATACTTTATTTTCTACAATGACTTCACACCATGATTTTACACTGTTTTTCACACCATGATTTTACACTGTTTTCACACCATGATTTTACACTACGATTGGCACCATGATTTTATATTATGATTTTACATTACGTTTTTTACACTATAATTTTATATTATGGTTTCACACAACGATATTACACTGATTTCACATTATGATTTTACACTACGAGTTACACCATGATTTTACATTATGATTTTACCCTACGGCTTTACGCTATGGCTATGGTTTTTATGTTACGATTTTACACTACGATTTATGCCATGATTTTATATTATGATTTTACCATACAGTTTACGCCATGATTTTATATTATGATTTTACCATACGGTTTTACGCTATGGCTATGGTTTTATATTACGATTTTACACTACGGTTTACGCCATGATTTTATATTATGATTTTACCATACGGTTTTACGCTATGATTTTATATTACGATTTCACACTACGATTTACTCCATAATTTTATATTATGATTTTGTACTATGATTTTACACCATGATATAACACTGTAAGAATTTACACTACGATTTTTACACTACAATTTTATACTACTATTCTATACTATAGTTTCACACTACTATTGTACACTATTAATTTACACTATTATTTTATCAGTAATATAAACACAATAGTTGTGCATTATCAGTAATCCAGAAGAAAGGCTAAACACACATTATTGTGATCAGTATTTGTATTTGCAAAACAAACAAAAGAAAAACGATAATTTACTCCTGATAAGGTGAAATTTTCTTTGTCCAACGTTTCGCCGGTACGATTTCATCGGGGCTCACAAGAAGACTGCTTCATATGATAAGATACGTTAGTTTATATGTTGAGAAATTCTTTTCTTGGCATTAAAAAGTATCAGAAAAAAACACTGTTATTGCATTGCAATTGTTCTCAAAGTATTTTTGATTTTATAAAAGTGACCATACAATGATTAATGTAAGACACAAATGTAAAATTTACAGATGGATTAACCATGACTTTTGTTAAAGTTAGTGTTTGAAAACGTCCTCTAATAAACTACATATGTTTCGATATAGAATTTTATCTTATGAGTCTACTGACACTTTACAATGGAATATCACGCGACCACGTGCCAATACGATTTTGATAATAATTATGCGATCCCTGGAGGCATTTTGCCTCCTGTATTCCCTGACAATATTTCTGTCTTTTCTTTCTTTCTCTAAGATTAATCTGATATATGTCTCACCTGAAAAAGGCTTACACAACTGGACTAAAAATGTTCATTGGATTTTGCCTTTACATCCAAACTCCATCAAGCATGATTTTAAAGGCAGGCTGACTCAGCAGCATCACCTGTCGCGACTTAGCTGCATTAAATTTACGTAAAAGGGTAACTATAAATCAGCCACCTAGTATAAAGAAGTTTGTTGGATTTTGCACAAAGCTACTTGAGAGTTACCTGCCCTAACCGTCCCTAATTTTAAAGTGATAAACTAGAGGTAAGGCAGGTAGTAAACACTACTCCCTGCCAACTCTTGGGCTACTCTTTACCAACGAATAGTGAGGTTGACCATCACATTATAATACACCTCCCCTTAAGGCTGAAAAAGCGAGTATGTTCGGTGATGGGATTCGAACCCTCGACCCGCAGATTGCGAGTCGAACGCCCTAACTACCAGGCTATGTCAGGCTCTAGTGTAAATGAAAACTAATAACTAGGCTAAACACCATTGCTTGATACAATAGATTATCACGAAATATCGGTTGATTTATTTCATCAACACGTGATGTGGAGTTGAGTGACCTCCAAGATGGTGTTACAGTCACAGTAAAACAATCGTGACTGAGTGGGGAAAAAAAATCAGCCTTTAAATTACAGTTTCATATTGAATCAGCAAACTATTTTTTTTAAATTGTAATAAATAATTAAAAACAACGTTTTGTATTTACACAATAAAAACTTTATTGAAGCCGTACATTCTAACTAGTTTTGTCCATTTTCTTTTGCTGCCTCCAAATGTAATTGATTAAAAATACCACATTACAATCTGCTTATGAAAAATACAAAAAAGAAACCTTAAGTTTACCTTACGTTCCAGGTTTAACAAGTCAATTAT